GCGCGATATCAATGGGACTGGCCAACTAGGACATAACTACAGGTACGAGGAAGGCTTTTGGAAGTAATCAGTTAGCGACGATCGTATCTTTTGTCCTCTGGCTCCCTAAACGCTTCCATGGAGCTAGATTTGGTCTTTAAGCGTCGGTCCTTTATTCGCCTTTGTCTGCCAATCCCACAAGTTTCAATATCGTCATGCCATGTTTGCTTTCCTTTGCTTTTCTAGCTTGTGGGAATTATTCAACAGTCGAGGAGATGTTGCTTGGATTCTTCCTTCGCCTTTCAGTCCCGATTTTCCGAACTCTCCGTCATACATTGATTGGCAGTGGGTCTCCCTTCTCCCTCCCCTGCCAAAGAGAAATTCTGCTAACAGCCCTCCCTGTATACTTTTCTGTACACAGTCTTTCTTCTTTTCTTGCCTTCTCCATTTGCCCCCTTCTTCTCTGTCTCTCCCTGGTTACTTTTTCTATCTTGTTCTTGAATAAATGTTCACTTGTTAATCTTGATCCAGCCTTTTCTTATGATCACTTTGGTAGCGAGTTCGTCATTAGCAGTTTGGTTGCAGCAGGATTACGAACTTAACCCCTCGCTACTCATACTCCCTGGACATTTTAACTTCCAAAATATTAGCGCATTTTATTTTCGGTTGACTGCAAATACGTTAAGCGGATATTTTTGGTCAGAGAATGTTTCTTTAAAAAGGGTAACGAGTTGGTTTTCCCAGGAAAGTAGTTCAAGGAACTTTATTAATATCGAAAATCGCAAAAAGTTAAACCTTGACAACAGTGTATAATGCAAATACAGTAGTCACCGGCTATTAAGCCCACCTCGGGCCCAGACCATATTGGGCTTAATAGGCGGCTGGGCCTATTAACCGTGGGCTTAGTACAGTAGTCGCCGGTTATTAAGCCAACTTTGGGCCCAGACCGAAGTTGGCTTAATAAGCGGCTGGACTTATTAACCGTGGGCTTAATAGCCGGCGACTACTGTATAGGCTTAACGTCAGCGATAAGTGTGAGCCATTTGCAAACTGCCGCTACTGCCACAATGTTCATAAGATGTACCACAGTCTCCCAGCAAATAAGAATCCAGTTTGCGTTTAAATATCTCAACAGTTTCCGAGAGGCCGAATTCTCGATGGAGAATATTTTGAAAGCCTGACTATTTGGAGAAGATTGCAATTTCTCACCATTTAATGCATCAGTATATTGTATATTTTTAGGGTTACACGACACAAGTCGGTTGTCCGGGACTGAGACCATCTCCAATACAGGAGAATATCCGAGTTCCAGGAAGCAGTTCGGAAGAAGAA